CCTAAAAAAAAATCTCTTGACCCATCCTCCCCCTCTATCGTCCTATATCCCTGCTCCATTTTTCATCAAAGATTCTGGAATGACTTGTCTTTACCTGTATGTTTCACTTCCTCAATTCCAACTCTCTCCTTGACCCTCTTTAATCTGGCTTTCATCCTCTCCACTCTACTGAGACTACTCTTATCAAAGTTACTAATGACCTAATCGTAGCTAAATCCAAAGGCAACAACTTTATACTAATTCTTCTTGACCTCTCTTCTGCCTTTGACACAGTAGATCTTGCTCTCGTTCAAACTCTTCAATCACTTGGTCTCAGTGACTCTGTCCTCTCGTGGTTTTCCTTTGATCTCTCCTAACGCTCATTCTCTGATACTTCCTCCCTTTGTCCTGTCTCGGTTGGAGTCCCCTAAGGCTCTGTCCTTGGCCCCCTTCTATTTTCTCTTTATACTGCCTCTCTTGGCAAACTTATAACCCATCTACAAAATGGAGATAGGACAGACAGGACTGAGGATAGCTCAGTATAAGGGGGGTAGAGATGGGGGGGCAAGCTCAGAACAGAGAAGGTATGTAATTTTGATTCACAAAGTACAAGTGACTAATGATATTAAATGTATGCTTCCTAATGTAAGGACCCTAAATAACAAAATGGGGGAACTAGAGGCAATAGCATACACTAAACAATATGACATAATAGGCATAACTGAAACATGGTGGGATGAGACACATGACTGGGTAGTTAATTTAAATACTCTTCTTGGTTTAAGTTCCATCTGTTCCACCGATTAACTTACAGATGGTTTCTCATTCAAGATCCAGGGAATCGGATTCATCTCATCATAATAGGTCACAATCTAAGCAATATAGGTAAGCCATATTTTCCATCCTAAAAAAAAAAAAAGAGTGGGAATGTACTCAAAAGCACGTTTGTATGTTGTAGTGCTAAAAGTACAAAGACTTCAGGATCGTCCAAAGGGAAGTCGCCCAAAAGGACGCTATGCATATCCTGTGACAACAGAGCCATAGAAGGGAAACGTCTCTGTTCAGATTGTCTCTCAGGAGCTGCAGGACCATCTCATCCAACACCGGACATTATGCAACTTATAAAGCATGCAGTTGCCCAGGGCATCAGAAAGGTTGGAAAGTCCTACAAGCGACCCAGATATTCTGAGCACTCTGAATTTTCTCCAGGAAACTCAGAGGATGAGTTTATGGATTCAGCTTCACTGAGAAATCTTGCTTTTTCCTCGGAGGAGGATGCTATGCCAGATCCAGACTTCCTGGTACCAGCGGAAGTGGATCATTTAATTGCCCGGGTTAGAGAAACCCTCAATTTAAAGGAACCCTCAGAGGAGGAAGCTGCAAGGGTTAATGCTATTCTGGACTCAACTCCCCTCAATTCTTGATCCTCCGGTCACCACATCAATTGATGGGAGTTCTTGTTAGCAAATTAAGATGAAAGAGTGCTTAACAAGTTCTCAATTAGTATATTTTCAGGGCTAGCATTTATACACAGTTTGTCATGCAAGCAGCGAGATTTATCACTTCCTTAAAGTTAGTAGTACATACTTGTCTGACATTAAAAAGATAAGCGTTTGAATAATGAGGGCACAGTAACAGCCTGAGGTCGAGCAAGGTCATACATCCTGTAGACGAAAGACCTTGGTACAAAATACATCTGACAAAGTCAGCATAATTATTTCAAACATTATTTTAAAGCATATAAAGCAAAAAGAGTTAACCATTTCATGTCCTTACACTTACATCCCCCTCTTTGATCAATAAAAAAAATGCTCATCTTATCAGTTAAAATCTTCCCAGGACAGAGACACTTCCACATTATGGCATTCCCAAGCAATCATGTGGTCTACAAGAAACAGAAACTCAGCAGGAAAAAAGACACTTAATATTTTTGCAGACAGATATATAGAAAATGGATGTTAAAGACAAAATGGAACTTGGGCTTATAGCAAATATATTATTGCAAATAGCTGACACGTTAACCAATTTTAAACAGACTAACCAGCTGGTCATCTGTATCATAAGTCATGGGTAAATATGGGCAAAGTGTATTATTCCCAACAGTTGTTTTCCTCCTTCGTACACGGAAGTGGGCGCATATAGTCAAAGTGGAATAATACCTATCCCACGTCCAACGACTGGGGTCTAGGATTATCAGTCCACCCGATGATCTAGGGCCAGGCAAAAAACCCCAGTGGCAAAAACTCATATTTGAGGAAAAAGCACATCTGGGGAAAACCTGAGTGGGGGCCGCGATCGTGTTAGACATGTCATCCCCTCACAGTTGACACCACTTGTGACTTATGATACCCGCACCTGTGAGTACATAGCTCGGGTATCGGGAGGAATTGAGAAACACTTCTTACGTATTAATTCATGAGATAAATTATAATCTAGCTTGATATTCTGACAATAATAACCAGGACCTTGCGTCCTATATCTTTTAACCATTTCCCTATTCCAAAGGTCCAGTCAAAACCAGTCATATCCTCACGCAGTTCATCAAAACATGGGAATCCATCCTTGGGACACTCAACATATATCAAAAACACACATAGTACATCCATCCCTGGGACAGCTAACACTTCCTCTCTCTCCAGCTAACTCTACAAAAGTAAAAATAAAAATAGTTCAATAGTTCAGAAAAATAGAATGTCTTTCACAGAGTATAAAGAAATCAGTTTAGACACCAGACATTTTGTTCCATAAAATGGCTAAGGGTAGCAATATGGCTGACAACAAGACAATGTCAGCTTCCACATAGTTCTTCTTCTGTTTGCTGGATTTTCACCACAATGCTCTGTGCAACACCCCAATGGTTGAAAGGGTTATTACAGAACCAGCAGTATCAGACAGCACTGCACCTTCAGGACTTTCCAGGTTCTTGCGTGCAAAGTTTATGTCCTCATAAGTATCTCAGTTTCTTCGGCCTGCATGTATAATGACCAAACAGATGTAATTGCAAAATACTTATTGCATGGCCAGCCAGAGAGATTGATTGTTAGGATGAATATTAAAACACTAACATTCACATATACATTCCCAATAAAACTCTGTTCCTAAACTTGAACCTTGATTTGATACTCAAAATTAATTACTTTAATAATCCCAAATAATTCAATACTTGGATTAACACCTAACCCTATATAAAATATTAAAAACATGAACCATCTGTGTATTAGGCTGGGATTGTTGGGTGTGGGTTTTGTGGTTGGTATTGAGGAATCTGTGGAGGTGGGTTTGGGCACTCATTTTTCCAGTGACCCTGCTATCCACAATTAGACTGAAGTTGCTACCTCTACAAAAGTTAGAAACTTTGACCAATTCCTCTACCTTTGCCTTTAAAACTTTTCTGCTTCAATCTCCTATCACCTCCCACATTTCTTTGTCTCGCCTGCTTAGGATCACAGTCCTTGTGACTGATACAACATACCTTTTCCCTCTTTCTTTCTATTAAAACAACTTGCTGTATCTTTCTTATGAATCTTCCCAAGAAATTCATTTGGGGTCAAAAAGGGCCAGTCACAGACCAGCAAGGAACAAAAGTGAACAAGGAGGAAGCATATTCCATATGCAGGTCAGGATTTCCGAACTCACATCCCCTCTTTGTGTACCACACAGATATATTAATAAGCTTTTAAACGTTTAATGAATTGTTAAATTGTGTATATAAAGCAAGGTTGTCTAGGGGTATATACATCGACAATGAAAGCATAGCCTTCATATAGGGCTTGCAATACCGACAGTCTGTGTCATGACATAATGCAGACATGCGTTAGGTACTTTTCCATTGTTATAATATATTAAAAACACTAAGACTTTGCAAATTTTTAAAACACATATTGCTTCCTGTACCTGCGGCCGTGCAAGGATGTAGTTAGGACATATTTCAAATTCAGTATCAAAAGTCTAACCACAAAACTAAATGTTATCCGCTTATCAAGAAAACAAGTTTAACCCGTTAGTGCGTACTTTGGATAGCCTCTTTGCATAATTTGGCTCCTAGTGAGATTATTATATTATTTATTAATCCTCTTCTGGATCTGTAAAATGCTTTCAATTTACCCATACAAATATAATACAGTAGTTTAGGAGATTAATATTACCTCACTTATAAATTTCCAAAATTGTCTAATCTCCAAAAAAAATACCATTTTATTATTACCCCATAATCAATAAGGCATTCTAGATGAATCTTACTTTGACACAAACAATGCAATATACTTTAAAAGTAGAGTTAACTCTGAGCTGGACAATACTCCCCTATTAGAACTCCTTTCTGAGGGAGAGACATCTTGTCCATTCAATCCTTTTTATCAGTAAAAGAATGACTTTCAGGATTAATCAGTTAATCAAGACAAACTGATTCAAATATAATTTAAAACAACACAGCAATATATAAATTAAACCACTTTCCAGTTAAAAGACCACTATAGTGCCAGGAAAACATACTCGTTTTCCTGGCACTATAGTGCCCTGAGGGTGCCCCCACCCTCAGGGACCCCCTCCCGCCGGGCTCTGGAGAGAGGAAGGGGTTAAACACTTACCTTTCTCCAGCGCCGGGTGGGGAGCTGTACTCCTCCTCTCCTCCTTGCTCAAGTTGGCTGGTGCAGCAAGCGGGAGGACCCGATTTGTTGCCGGGGTAGGACATTTAGACGCTAGAGCTTGCGTCAGACACAGTGAGCACGCAAGCGCCTCGCCGGCTGTCAAATGACAGCCACTAGAGAGGCTGGAGGCTGGATTAACCCTCAGTATAAACATAGCAGTTTCTCTCAAACTGCTATGTTTATAAAAAAAAGGGTTAATCCTAGAGGTACCTGGCACCCAGACCACTTCATTAAGCTGAAGTGGTCTGGGTGCCTAGAGTGGTCCTTTAAGCTGCACACTTCACACATTATCACAATCACCATTTACGCAGAATAAACAGTTAGCTGTATTCAGAACATATTATTGTAAGGTATACCAATTTTAGTTTGTATTAGATTTATTTTAGGAATTCTTATGCATACATGTTTTTTCTTAATTAACGTTATTACTTTAATCTACTACAGTATTGTATATAAAGAAAGGATCCATTTATATAGCGCGCTCATAACTCAAATATTTGTCTGAAACTCCCATTAACTAATCTGAGATGATGCTGCATCAACTTAAATCTTATAGAAATTGAGCAAACATCTGGACCTGATTACACAGACATTGTTTCACCCGAATCTTTCAGAACTCTCAGAGACTTAAAAAATTTATACTATACCATGTTATAAGGCATGGCAAACCTTAGACCGGTCAGTCTCCAAGAGTAACACAGGTAACACAGGTAGAAACCTTTATACCAAAAAATGATACTGCACTCAAAAAGAGCTTTAGATATAGTTCATTGCTTCATTTAATAATTCATTATAATATGGTATAGACAAAATTCATTGATTGCAAAAAAATATACCGTATATACTCGAGTATAAGCCGACCCGAATATAAGCCGAGGCCCCTAATTTTACCCCAAAAAACTGGGAAAACTTATTGACTCGAGTATAAGACTAGGGTGGGAAATGCAGCAGCTACTGGTAAATTTCTAAATAAAATTAGATCCTAAAAAAATTATATTAATTGAATATTTATTTACAGTGTGTATATGATGAATGCAGTGTGTGTGTATGAGTGCGCAGTGTGTGTATAAATGCAGTGTGTATATGAGTGCGCAGTGTGTGTGTATGAATGCAGTGTGTGTGTATGAGTGCAGTGTATGTGAGTATGAATGCAGTGTGTGTGTATGAATGCAGTGTATGTGTGTATGAATGCAGTGTGTGTGTATGAGTGCAGTGTGTGTGTATGAATGCAGTGTATGTGTGTATGAATGCAGTGTATGTGTGTATGAGTGCAGTGTGTGTGTATGAATGCAGTGTGTGTGGTGCAGTGTGTGTGTATGAATGCAGTGTGTGTGATGCAGTGTGTGTGTGTGTGTGTGTGATGCAGTGTGTGTGTATGAATGCAGTGTGTGGTATGAATGCAGTGTGTGTGATGCAGTGTGTGTGTGATGCAGTGTGTGTGTGTGTGTGATGCAGTGTGTGTTTGTGTTGCAGAGCCTTGGTGGGGGGTGGGCATTTTTATAAAAAAAAAATATTATTATTTACATTTTTTTTTGTTATATTATTATTTTTTTAATATTTTTTTTATTATTATTTTTATTTTTTTATTATTATTTATGTATTATTTTATTTAGTTTTTAGTTCATTTTTTTGTTATATTATTATTTTGTTTATTATTATTTTTATTATTATTTTTTATTATTTATTATTAATTTATTTATTTTTCGTCCCCCCTCCCTGCTTGATACATGGCAGGGAGGGGGGCTCTCCTTCCCTGGTGGTCCAGTGGCATTGGCAGTTCAGTGGGGGGAGGAGGGGGGTTGGCAGAGCTGTTACTTACCTCTCCTGCAGCTCCTGCCAGCTCTCTCCTCCTCCGCGCCGGTCCGTGCAGCTCTTCTCTCAGCTCACACTGTAAGTCTCGCGAGAGCCGCACTATGACCCCGCGGCTCTCGCGAGACTTACACTGGGAGCTGACTGAGGTGCTGCACGGACCGGCGCGGAGGAGGAGGGAGCTGCAGGAGAGGTAAGTAACAGCTCTGCCAGCCCCCAGTCTGTATTATGGCAATGTAAATTGCCATAATACAGACAGTGACTCGAGTATAAGACGAGTTGGGGTTTTTCAGCACAAAAAGTGTGCTGAAAAACTCGGCTTATACTCGAGTATATACGGTACTCAAAATAAAAAAATTGATAGTATATACAATTAAATCAAACAATATATCCTAATGGTAACAATACATTGTAAACCTATTAGACTCCATGTTACTAAAAGATCCCTGACCACAGATTTAGTAAGTTGATGCTGTGTAACTGTATCTAAGAGTCCAACGGTCCCATCCACAAAGAGGGGTAATAAAGAAAAAAAGAAAAAGCAAAAAAAGGAAAAAATAAATGAAAAAAATGAATGAAAAAAGAAAAAAGGTAAAAAATGCAAAATGAGGAAAAAATGAGAAAAAAAGTATATACAGTCCCAGTGTGTACACACTATAATATATGGGTGGATCTCACCACATTCTCCGAGACTGTAAGTCCTTATTTTGAAGCTTGTGTGTGTTTTTCTTCATATGAATATCGTGGTGCAAAAGTGGATCCCTTTATATCAATTGCTTTTCCAAAGTTGTATGCACAAAGAATCCCTCACTCTTCCTGGAGGTGCCGGACTCCTGTCTTCAATCTGCTGGTACCGGGTCTTCTGATGGGCTGCGCGCTCGGGACCTAGAACATCCCTTCAATGGCCCTATCAAGAATAAAAAATAATGAGAAATCCCACACATATATATTCTTGAACACGTGGGTCGCGCCTATGTGATGCTTACGTTCGTCTACCCGCTTGGCGCGCCTCTATGACGTCATGGCGCATACCTCAAATTACTAAGTTGGACGAATATGTAGTACCACTGTGTTTATATCTGTCTTCCTGCGCCTATGCATATATTCCCATGCGTAGGAATAATACATTTTGAGAGAACTTCATCCATCTCCTCAGTCCATATATATAGGAAAAAAGTCCCTTATGTCCAAAAAGTGTGGGAGAACAAATATCAATATACATTTGTACAAAAAACCATTATATACATATTTACAATACAAAAACATGGAGAATTAAAGTCAGATAATTACTGTACCGGAATATTAAAGGACCACTCTAGGCACCCAGACCACTTCAGCTTAATGAAGTGGTCTGGGTGCCAGGTCCTTCTAGGGTTAACCCATTTTTTCATAATTATAGCAGTTTCAGAGAAACTGCTATAATTATGAATGGGTTAAGCCTTCCCCCTAATCCTCTAGTGGAGGTCTCATTGACAGTCACTAGAGGCGCTTGCGTGCTTCTCACTGTGATTTTCACAGTGAGAGCACGCCAGCGTCCATAGGAAAGCATTGTAAATGCTTTCCTATGAGACCGGCTGAATGCGCGCGCAGCTCTTGCCGCGCGTGCGCATTCAGCCGGCGGGGCGTAACGGAGGCGGAGAGGAGGAGGAGAGCTCTCCGCCCAGCGCTGGAAAAAGGTAAGTTTTTACCCCTTTCCCCTTCCAGAGCCGGGCGGGAGGGGGTCCCTGAGGGTGGGGGCACCCTCAGGGCACTATAGTGCCAGGAAAACGAGTATGTTTTCCTGGCACTATAGTGGTCCTTTAACCAATAAAGTTCCTTATGCATTGAGGGGTTGAAATTATTAACATATTTGTGAAAATCTGGCTGAAATGTTAAATATATCATATTTATGAGAGTTCATCCAGAGTATAAGTATTAGAATAAGTGGGAAAAGTTTTTTAGGAAAAAAAATTCTTTCTACTGAAAAGAAAGGTTTTTACTGAAAAAACCTTTACTAAAAAAAATCTCTTAAAGGAAAAATAACCCTAAGATAAGCCCTTTCTAATTTCATCTTCTATTTCTCACTGCTTGGTTGAGATGATTATATGTATAATCACCACCACCAGGTAGATACCTGGGTAGTAAAAAATTATGCGAGACCAAAATTTAGTTGCAACAAGTAATCAGAGGTGACCGTTCACCCCTTCCAAATAGCTTATTTTTACAAAATAAGCATACTCACCAGCAGTGTAATGTGTGAAAAATGCCTGTGGTTTCTCACACGTTGGACCCCGTTACTTCTCGGGTAGCGGACCAAGAATGGTCAACTCCTGTAATGGCTTTAGAAGGGTAAAAAAGGCAGGCGTGCCATTTAGGATCCCAATGACTTGCTGTAAATATAAAATGGCAGATTAGTCCGAATAAATGGACCAAAAGATAATAACACTATTGCGTTCGACCCTGAGTCATTCTACAAAAAATGCTTAAGATCATAGTCCTCATTCAGACCATCCGGATGGAGTGTTTCCAAAGTACTAATCCACTTTGTTTCTTTACATAGAAGTACCTTCTGTCTGTCTCCACCTCTCCATAATGGTTTAACACTATCAATTACTTGAAAACGTAATTGATTAACAGTATGACCTTGCTGTTAAAAATGCCTAGGCACTGGTTTGTCACATGTCTCTTTCTGAATGGCCGCTCTTATGTCCCTCTTATGTTCTCCAATGCATTCCTTCACTGGTCTAATTGTTTCCCCAACACAGAGAAACCCACAAGGGCATTTCAAGATGTAAACCACATATTCTGAGTTGCACGTATAGTAATCAAGAATTTTAAAGTGTTTACCTGATCATGGATGTACAAAACACTCACCTCTGATTACACTGTTGCAATGTATACAATTCAGGCATGGGAACGTGCCTTTCTTAGGTTCAGAGAAGAATCTTCTCTGTTTTTTGTTGCTGCCTATATCCGAATGTACTAGTTTATCTCTCAAATTCTGTGCTCTTTTATAGGAGAACAAGGGAGGATTCCTAAATTCTTTTGGCAAATTAATATCACCCTCAAAGATGCTCCAATGTTTCATTATTATTTTTTTTAATAGCATTACTGTACGGGGTACATGGTGATATAAAAGGGATTCTTTGTATAGTGTCCCTCTTGCCGATAGGGTTAAGTACTTCTACCCTATCCATATCTGAGGTAGAAACCTTTGTCCATGATCTCTGATCCAGGCTATATACCACAATTTAAAAGAACACATATAATGTGAAACATAGAAGACACAAAACATATGCAGTAGATATTCCACTGGATCATGGATCTGTAGCAATAAAATTGTTAGCTTACAGCACAAAATGAAGCATGTGTTGGACCTCTGAAAATGTAAATGTTGCTCTCTTATTTACAAACAAAAATCATATTTACAGTATGGATCCTCTGCAACAAACACACAGGGCAGGGAAGATGTGCTGATTTGTGTTCTATACAATTAATCCCATACGGGGAATTAACTTTCAAATACTAATGAAGTGACTTTGTCTCAGTATAAAACTACTGAGCTCATCATGCAAACAATGTAACACATTTAAACTATTCCACTCTCATAGAAAGTGTAGTGGGCTTATGGTATTAAAGTAACAATCATACCAGGCACATAGATCCCATGTGAAATAACTTACAATAAAACAGAGTAATAAACTTATACTTCTATGCGACATAAAGAATAAAGCAAAAGATTTAAGTAGGTCTATCAGGTACAACCTGCGAGTCAGTTCTTTTCTAATATACAGTACGTATATATATATTGGTCACTCAGGACCTGAACTTACATTTCCCATACTGCTGACTCAGGGCAGACACACTACTAACTTACCAAAGTGTGTCCCCTATACAGACAATCACCCACAAAGAACACTTAAGACAAACAAAGGTGACCAGGAGAAAGAGATGTTTGGGGTATACTTATAGATCTATAAACCGTGCTCCTCAGAACACCTATAGTCTTAATAAACCGGAGACCTCTTATGGTCTCAAAACCTGTATCTACCTGAGATACCCTGTATCTATCTTAGATACTAATCTGGGTTACCAAAACCCTATATATATTTAGACCAAATGTCTAATAAACCGGAGACCTATTTACAGTCTCAATATAACTAAAGTCCTTACACCTTTCCTTTCTACTGGATACAGACTTACTGAACCAAAGGGGGTCATAGACAATTAGCGTCAGTAAGACACAAAAAGGCTACTTACCGCAAATGGTCCTGCTGTAATCCCACTTCATGACACCAAGCTGAAAGGGTTAATGCTGTTCTGGACTCAACTCCCCTCGATTCTCGATCCTCCGGTCACCACATCAATTGATGGGAGTTCTTGTTAGCAAATTAAGACACAGAGATGAAAGAGTGCTTAACAAGTTCTCAATGAGTATATTTTCAGGGCTAGCATTTATACACTGTTTGTCACGCAAGCAGTGAGATTTATCACGTCCTTAAAGTTAGTAGTACATACTTGTCTGACATTAAAAAGATAAGCGTTTGAATAAAGACGGCACAGTAACATCCTGAGGTCGAGCAAGGTCATACATCCTGTAGACGAAAGACCTTGGTACAAAATACATCTGCCAAAGTCAGCATAATTATTTCAAATATTATTTTAAAACATATAAAGCAAAAAGAGTTAACATTTCATGTCCTTACACTTACAGAACCCTCTACATCTAATCACTATTTCTCTGATCTTAGGAGAAAAAGAGCGGCTTTCCCGGTGCATGACACAATAAATGATCTTATTAAGGAGGAATGGTCCAGATCTGATAGGAGATCATCTGCCATGGGAAAATTCTCCAAGTTATACCCATTCGAGCCCAAAGATGCTGAGGCATGGGATTTTGCACCCAAAGTTGATGCTGCAGTTGTCAGGTTGGCTAAGCACACTACCTTGCCTGTGGACGATGCGGGTTCTTTCAGGGATCCGATGGATCGGAAAATGGAATACTATCTTTCCAAGTCTTATGTAGCCTCAGGCACGAGTCTCCACCCGGCCTTTGCTCTCACGTCCATTACAAGAGCAATGAAGGTCTGGCTACAAGAACTGGAGGAGGACATCAGGGGTGGCAGAAGCCGTTCCTCCATAGTGGATGGCCTGAAGGATTAGCCATTGATTTCTCATCTGAAGCAGCAGTGGATCTAGTAAGAAATCTTGCCAGGAATATGTCTTTTACAATTTCCACCAGACGGGCGCTTTGGCTCAGATCTTGCTCAGATCTTGCTTCCTCCAAGAATAGTTTGTGTTCCTTACCATTCCACGGGAATATGTTGTTTGGTAAGAACTTAGACGAATGTATAAAAGGGGCAGCCGAAGGTAATAAAGCCTTTCTACCACAAGAAAGGGTCCTTTCGTGCCTGAAAAGAGTACCATTCCTTTCGGGATAGCAGATCATACAAGCCCGGTAGAGAATATGCCAGATTTCAACCCGGGAGAGGATCCCAATCTGGATGTAGAGGAGGCAAATCGCGAGGTATTTCTTCCTCCAAGAATTCCAGGAATTTATGACTATATAATTCCCAAATCAGGAGTCGGGGCTTGTCTTCTTCAATACTCAGCCATATGGGCAGAATACACAAGCGACGGCTGGGTACTAGATATTATTTGGAGAGGATACCTTCTAGAATTTTTCAAGCATCCTCCCAACAGGTCTTTTCATCTCACAAAGTGACCAGGGGACAAAGAGAAGCGCATGGCCCTACGGAACTTCACTTTATCCCTACAAGCAGAGAAAGTTATCATTAAGATTCCAACAGACGAAAGAACTCTAGGGTTTTACTCACACATCTTCCTAACGAAAAAAATCCTCAGGAGGATGGAGACCCATTCTAGATCTGCACAGATTAAACAAGCATCTACACATTCGCAGATTCAAGATGGAATCCCTGCAGTCTATAATAAAAGTAGTGTCACCCAACCATTGGATGCTGTCCATAGATCTATTAGACGCCTACTTTCACATACCCACTGCACAGTTCCAGCAAAGATTCCTGAGGTTCGCTGTGGAAGAAGGCCTTTTCCAGTTCAGAGCACTCCCGTTTGGGCTACGCACAGCCCCGAGGACGTTCACAAAAGTATTGGTAGTTCTGATTGCAGAACTGAGAAACCAGAATATCGCTATCTACCATTATTTGGACGACATCCCGATCATAGGAAACAACGAAGATACATTAACCTCCCAAGCTATTACCAGTATTCAGTTTCTGCAAAGCCACGGCTGGAAAACCAACGCTGAGAAGAGCCACCTCCACCCAACCCAATCTATGATATATTTAGGGGCTCACTTCAACCCTCTGATGGGTACTGTCCAACTTTCTATGGCAAGAATTTTGAAACTCAGGAAACAATTAAGAAAGATATTAAAGTCCAGTATTGCTCCTGCAAAGACGGTAATGAGTCTCCTGGGATCTATTTCCTCCACAATAGGACTGACCAGATGGGCACAATGGAGGATGAGACCATTCCAAGCCAATTTCCTAATGCAATTTTCCTCCAAGATTCTTCTACAACCCATCAAGTTATCCCTGGCCGTACAACATTCTCAAAGGGCAATGGGTAATGATAAGAACGGACAACACCACCGTGATATCCTATGTCAATCATCAAGGAGGAACCAGGAGCAGCAAAATGATGGAAATTATGAGGCAACTAATGTGGTGGGTTCAGAGGAATCTGGCAGGCCTTACAGCCATCCATCTACCAGGGAAACGGAATCAACTAGCAGATTTCCTCAGCAGATCCAGGATAGACCCAGGGGAATGGTACCTATCGGACAGAGTATTCCGCACCATTGTAGACAAGTGGGGTCTCCCTCAAGTAGACCTACTAGCTACTTGTGTCAACAGGAAGGTGAAGGACTACTTCACGAAAGAGGAAGACCGTCTGGCACAGGGAAGAGACGCTTTATCCAGTCCCTGGAAATTCAAAATGGGGTATGCGTTCCCTCCATGTCCACTGATCTTCCCAATCCTGAGGAGGATGAGAACAGAGCAGGTATCTCTCATCCTGATAGCACCTTATTGGCCTCGAAGACCTTGGTTTCCTCTGTTCCAAAGTCTTTCTGTGGAACCTCCACTCCAACTCCCCAAAGTTCCAGCTCTACTGTTCCAGGATCCAGTGTTGCATCCAAACCCAATTTCACTAAATCTCATGGATTGGAGACTGAAAGGGACAGGCTTGCGAACAAAGGCTTCTCCCAAGCCGTAATAGACCCTATGCTGAAGGCACTCAGCCACCTACTATAGAGTATGGGACGTTTTTTCCACCTGGGCTCTTCCTAAATGCATTGATCTACAGAATCCCTCTTCCACGGATATTTTGGAGTTTCTGCAGTCTGGTCTTAATAAAGGCCCAAGTTATAATACATTTAAGGTACACGTTTCAGCTTTGTCCGCCTTGACCAATCACAGGTGGGCATTGGACGCGGATGTTATCAGGTTCATTAAAGGAGTCCTTAAAATTAAACCTTCAATTAAGCCATTTGTTCCCTCCTGGGATCTGCCTTTGGTTCTAAATGCCTTGAAATTAGGACCCTTTGAATCTATTCTTCTACATTTTCTCTCTATCAAAACAGCCTCGTTGATTGCCTTAGCTTCCGGCAGGAGAGTGTCTGAGCGTCACGCCCTATCCATTGAGGAGCCCTTTACGGTCTTTCACAAGGACAGAGTTATCCTCCGTACAATTCCTGAATTTAGACCTAAAGTCACCTCCGCTTTTCATATCAACGAAGATATTGTTCTTTCATCTCTGAGGTCTGAACTCCAAGAATAAGAGGATAAAACAGACCTGTCATCTCTGGACCTAGTAAGATGCCTTCATATATATATTGAGAGAACTGCTACTTGGCGCACTTCTCAAAGTCTCTTGGTCCTTCATAACGGTAGTAGAAGGGGAATGCAAGCCCCCAAATCTTCCATTAGCAGGTGGATAGTGGCAGCTATTATACAAGCATACCAATCTTCAGAATGTCCGGTCCCTGTGGGTCTTAAAGCCCATTCCACTAGGGCCCTCTCATCCTCCTGGGCAGCCGCAGCCAAAGTCTCTCCTGAACTCATTTGTAAGTACAAAGAGTTGTCATTAATGGTAAATTTTCAAGCCGGACAGAGGTGGCAAGTGGTGTCCCTCAGGGGTCTGTTCTGGGACCCCTTCTATTTAACATATTTATAAATGATCTTGAAGACAGCATTGAAAGTCCTGTATCAGTGTTTGCAGATGACACAAAACTTTGTAAAATAATACAATGTGAGAGATTAATTTGCTGCAGAGGGATTTAGATAGACTGGGGGACTGGGCACTCAAATAACAGATGAAATTTAATGTTGAAAAATGCAAAGTTATGCACTTTGGTGTAATGAATACACAAGCAACGTATACCATTAATGGAAGCTAATTAGGGATAGCAACACACGAAAAGGACTTGGGAATTGTTATAGACAACAAACTATGCAACAATGTGCAATGTCAATCAGCAGTGGCCAAGGCCAGTAAGGTATTGTCATGCATGAAAAAGGGCATTCATTCTCGGGACAAGAATATAATTTTGCCTCTTTATAAATCACTGGTAAGACCCCATATTGAATATGCTGTGCAATTTTGGGCACCTGTTCTAAAGAAGGATATTATGGCACTAGAAAAAGTGCAGAGGCGGGCTACAAAATTAATAAAAAGAATGGAACATATCAGCTATGAAGAAAGGTTAACAAATTTAAACCTATTTAGTTTAGAAAAACGTTGCCTGAGAGGGGATATGATAACATTATACAAATATATTCGGGGCCAATACAAACCATTGTGTGGAGATCTATTCACAAATCGGACTTTACATAGGACACGAGGTCATGCGTTTAGACTGGAAGAAAGATTTCGTCTAAGGCAAAGGAAAGTTTTGTTTTTTTAAGAACAATCAAGAGGTGGAATTCTCTGCCTGAAGAACTGGTTTTATCAGAGTCCATACAGATGTTCAAACAGCTACTAGTTGCATACTTGCAAAAACAGAATATTCAAGGATATAATCTTTCAATGTAGGGTAATAACTGCTTGATCCAAGGATAAATCTGACTGCCATTCTGGGGTCGAGAAGGAATTTTTTTCCTAGCTTGTTGCAAAATTGTGCTTCAAACTGGGTTTTTTTTGCCGTCTTTTGGATCAACAGCAAAAAACAAATGTGAGGAAGGCTGAACTTGATAGACGCAAGTCTCTTTTCAGCTATGTAACTATGTAAGGCAGCCACATGGTATTCAACCAATACATTCATTAGGAGTTACCAAATTGATGTCAGAGCAGGTTTATCAGATCAATTTGCTAAATCCGTTCTATCAGTATCCGATACGTGATTTCTTTGTTTTGTCACTTGATTGTGGGGCTAGTACACTTTGCATTCAAAAAATTTTGAGTCTGTGTCTTCTTCCCTCCCTGGGTTCAGCTATGTAACTAATACATTCATTAGGAGTTACCAAATTGATGTCAGAGCAGGTTTATCAGATCAATTTGCTAAATCCGTTCTATCAGTATCCAATACGTGATTTCTTTGTTTTGTCACTTGATTGTGGGGCTAGTACACTTTGCATTCAAAAATTTTCGAGTCTGTCTTCTTCCCTCCCTGGGTTGGGTATTACCCAATGTTGTGCTGCGATGGATATGGCCAGGAAAATGGAAAATCTATTCATACTTACCGTAATTTTCTTTTCCTGGTCATAGGCCATGGCAGCACAAGGGTCCCACCCGGGGCTATTGCTGAAAACAAGACTGGGGAAGAATGGGTAGGAGGTGGTACTTATACTGCTTAATTATTATTCCTGTCCAATCGGGATAGGGAAGAGCTACCCAATGTTGTGCTGCCATGGCCTATGACCAGAAAAAGAAATTACGGTAAGTGATCAATTGGCAAGGTGTACATTTTACTGTGATCTGATTTTTTAAATTATTTTTTTAACCCTTGAGGGGCAATTTTTATTTTTTGTAACCCTCAGCTAGCTAGCTGGAGTGGGTGGGAGTTATGGGAAATTGGGGGATTTACGGTTACTGCTGCTTACTGCTAGTTAGGGGTTAACGGTAAAAAAAGTTTATAAAAATGTTAACTCTGTAAAAAAGTTTCAAAAAATACATTTAAAAATGCTCATTACCACTACACCTGGAACAAACCAGAGAAAAAATGGTCCCATGCTAAGGTCTAAAATATGCCTTTTGAATTACCCCAAATGTATTCTTTAATAGTATGTGTTTGTGGGGAAGTTTCAATAACCAACCAGCTAAACTACTCCAAAATGGAACATGGACATAACGTAAAACTTCAAAGTTAGACAAAAACTGTCTGTGTCTCAAATGTGCCCCTCCGATGTCCACATATACCTGGCAAAGGTACATACGGGGGTATTGCTGTACTCAGACAACATAGCTGAGCAACATATGTAGTATTATACAGTCGTAGCACACATAGGGTTTGCAAAATATACTGTACAAAATAATTTTGTGTGTCAAAAAGGCAGAAAAAAAATGATTATTACCACTACACTTGGTACAAGCTAGCGGAAAAATTATCCCCCACGAAGGTTTAAAATATGCCTTTTAAAATACCCTGGGATGTCTTCTTTAAGAAATGGTATGCCTTTATGGTGTAGTTGTAACATGTAGCCTGCTCAAGTGCTCCAAAGTGGGACACGGACGCATCAAAACCTTCCATGAAAATTTACACTTAAAAACCTGAACTTGTCATGTCTCTTTTACAGCATCGTAACTTCACAAAATAATGTCTAGCTCATACATTGGGCATATTGTTTTACTCAGAAGATGTAACTGAGCATAATTTAGGGATTTTTAGGACAGTGGTACATATTAAGTGTAAGAAATACTCAGCCAAAATGCAACATATGTAAAAATGCCATCCCCCTCACCACCACAAACATTGACATAAACTGGGGAAAAAATTGTAACAAGTTAAGGCACAATATAAGCCATATGAGATACTCTTGGGTGTCTGCTTTATCAAATGAAAGCCCTTTGTGGTGTTATTTGAACAATCACACTGCTATAAAACCCTAAAATGACACACAGGCCCGTCAAATCCCTCTACGAAAATTGTAACTATAGAAACTGAAATAACCTTGTCTCTTATATGGCATTGTAGCTTTACAGAAAAGTGCCACAAGCATACAATGGGGGTATCGTTATACTCAGCAGATGTAACTGAACACAATATGGGGTTCTGTGCAGGAACACACACACACCAGCTTTATGAAATACACATTACAAAAACCTTGTTATATGCGTATATGCCAAAATAAAGAAAAAACACAATTTTACTCCAATATTTAGCAGAGATTGGCGATGAAATGGCTACGTAAACAGTGTCAAACTAACCTTAGTTGAATAGCCTGTGATGTCTACTTTATATAAATATATACTTTTGTGTGGCAATTTTTTTCTGTGTTGGCTACTAAACCTACAAGACAAACATAACAACTTCTAAAATTATTGCAAATTGAAATTTTATTTTAGTCCTTGTATTTTGTGACCTGTAGCTTTCAAAATAAGCTGAAATCCTATATATATGATGTACTCTACAAATCAAGACACATAAATTAATTTATTTTGAATTACTTTTTCTAAGCTGGACATATTATGCCCACGCTATTGCCAAAACTGAAAAAAATGTAGGTTTTGTTTTCAATTTTTTGGCATTTTTTATAATTAATGAGAATGTATCTATGTATGTGTGACATCAAATTAAAGCCATGTTTGCCCTCTAAAAAAAAATGTATAAAATGTGTCGGTGCAATAAATGACAGATGCAAATTGCATTTGAACACAAACAGCAAAAAAAAAAAAAAAAAGGCAGAAATGGCTTGTCCTTACGCGTAAGACAAGCTTCTGAAGCGGTGTCCTTAAGGGATTAATGAAGACCAAGACAGGAATTTGAAATAACTATTTCTCCTCCGTATATATTAAGGAAGAATCCATGGCAATAGATGTGCAAATGATTGCTGCTAAAAATAATTGTAATTGGTTAACTCAAGACAAGGTGCTGCAGCAACTAAAGAAAGTGAATATAAACAAAGCTCCAGGGCCTGACTGTATTCATTCACAAGTACATAAGGAACAAAGTGTAGAAATAAGTGAACCTCCATCCTCAAGTATTGGAGGAAGGCAGATGTGGTTCCTATATTCAAAAAGAGTTCCAAATTCTTGCCTGGAAATTATAGATCTTTGAGCTTAACTTCTGTGGCTGGAAAAATATTTGATAATTTTCAAGAATTCCTTGAGAAGAACATGTTATCAGCAAAAATCAGCATGGTTTTATGAAGCACAGGTCATGTCAAACTAATTTGTTTGCATTCTACGAAGTAGTAAGTAGAAGTATTGATCAGGGTGTTGCAGTGGATGTGATATTTGGATTTTGCCAAGACATTTGAAACAATAAATTAGTGTTCAAACTCAAGGAAATCAGTCTAGATGAAAATGCTTGTTCTTGGGTAGAACATTGGCTTAAATATAGAGTACAAAGAGTTGTCATTAATGGTCAATTTTCAAGCTGGATAGAGGTGGCAAGTGGTGTCCCTCAGGGTTCTGTTCTGGGACCCCTTCTATTTAACATATTTATAAATGATCTTGAAATAGGCATTGAAAGTCATGTATCAGTGTTTGCAGATGATAAAACTTTGTAAAGTAATAAAATGTGAGCAGGATATTGCTTTGCTGCAGAGTGATTTGGATAGATTGGGGGGACTGGGCACTAAAATGGCAGATAAAATTTAATGTTGAAAAATGCAATTTTGGGCACCTGTTCTAAAAAAGTGTATTATGGCACTAGAAAAAGTGCAGAGGCGTGCTACAAAATAAAAGAAATGGTACATATTAGCTATGAAGAAAGGTAAACAAATTTAAACCTCTTTAGTTTAGAAAAACGTTGCCTGAGAGGGGATATGCTAACATTATACAAATATATTCGGGGCCAATACAAACCATTGTGTGGAAATCTATTCACAAACAGGATTAAACATAGGACACTAGGTCATTCATTTAGACTGGAAGAAAAAAGATTTAATCTAAGGCAAAGAAAAAAGTAGTTTTTTTACACTAAGAACAATGATGATGTGGAATTCTCTGCCTGAAGAAGTGTTTTTTTTTTTTATCAGAGTCCATTCAGATGCTCAAACAGCAACTAGATGCATACTTGCAAAAACAGAATATTCAAGGATATAATTTTTCAATGTAGGGCAATAGCTGCTTGACCCAAGGATAAATCTGACTGCCATTCTGGGATCAAGAAGGATTTTTTTCCCTAGTTTGTTGCAAAATTGGTGGTGCTTCAAACTGGGTTTTTTGCCTTCTTTTGGATCAACTGCTAAAAAACAAATGTGAGGAAGGCTGAACTTGGACGCAAGTATCTTTTCAGCTATGTAAATATATATTTATGCCTGGAGATAATAGAATTGATACAGTATCTGAGTCAATTATCTCCCAGGCAGAGAGGAGGGATTGTATGTTTGTTATAGGAGTGTTGTGCATTTAATTACTGTTCTTATTGGTCTGTGTCTGTCAGGATTACAAGTTGATTCAGCACGCAGTACTGTGTCACACCTAGGACTAAGTGTCACGGCAAGGGTGCATAATTTATTATAACACTATGGAATATTGTCCTTTTAATGTAATTTGTGTAGTAAATGGCAGAGATGGTATTTTCAGGGTCACATCTTTTGAAGCTAGGACCCACATATAGGTCGGATGACAGAAGGGGTAGTATGAATGGCATAGCAATGTGAAAAGGATTTTACCATATAGATGTGAAGTAATCAAGACTCTGCAAGGTGTGAGGTTCTACACTTGGAAAAAGTCTGAATGTCTCTTCATCCATTTGGCATGTACCTTGTAAGTGATGAGTCAATCTCTTTGATATGTAAATGTCATTAGCCTTGTTCCAGTATCATATCCAAAGGAAGGAAAACATTCCTATTTACCCCACAGCATAATAATAAAGCCTCATTTTTGTTATATTTGGAATGTGACAAACGCAATCTTCTAAACAAGTCCAGACATGAGTGGCCTAACTTGACCATAGGGGAAGGAATTGTAGTGAACGTTAACCCTTTCACCACCACACCTACGTCACGCACACTCTGAGTTGGGTGCGTTAGTGACACCAAGGATAACGTATAACCGGACCCTATAATGGCCGGACTTAACGTCTCCAAGACTAGTCAAAATACTTGCCGAGGTCAGGAACACAGAATCAGACAACAATGAGGGAAAGCCAAAAGTCAAGGATACTAGAATTCAGGGAAGTCAAAACAAAGCCAAAGTCAAATACCAGAAAATCAAGATCAGGAACGTACTCTTAGATTACCATCAGGCAGGAACCACGACAGGGCAATGAGCAAAAGGAAAATTGCGTTTAAATACCTCTTCTGTGGATCCGGTTAGCCATAAACGGCCTTTAACCCCAAAAGCAATTACCAGGTTTCCATGTGCATGATTGCTGCCCGGCACAACTTTTCCTATCAGGACGGTAAATGCCATTAACCACATTTTTATGTGCGGATGAATACATGTCATTACCCCCCATTGGGCTGGCAGGACCACGTTTGAGTGGAAACTTGGTGTGAAAAGAACAAATTTTACAGCCAGCATGGGTATCAGAAGCCGAAACCCAAGAACAGTCAACAGGCACATACCCCCCCAATCAACCAAATACTGTAAGGAACCACGAGAAAACCTGGAATCAATGATGGAGGAGACTTCATACTCCTCCTGTCCAGAAACAACCAACCAAAGGAGGAGGGAGAACAACCGGACTTGTGTACCAATTGCAAACAAGAGGTTTGAGCAAGGACACATGAAAAGTATTAGGTATACGTAAGGATGTTGGCAGGGCCAGAGAATAAGAAACAGGGTTGATTCTCCTAACCACATGAAAAGGACCAAGGAACCTCGGAGAAAACTTAATGCTGTGAATTTTCAACCTGATGTTGCGTGAGGATTACCAAACCTGATCACCCACCTGGTAAACTGGATTTGCACTAGGCAGTTCAACAATGAAATCCATCGATAAATGAGACCATGGGATACTGGGTATAGGAAGTAGCTGTAACAATCGACACCAAAGTTTATGAGGAACCTTTAAAACTGCATAGACAGACCAGGCTTCTACATAATCTTTATTATCCCTCCTGAGTGACTCCCACCAAAAATGACGTAGAAATGGCGGATACAGTTCTATTAATACCTGGATGCGCAGCGGTCACATTGTCATGGAATACCTTCAGCACCTCTTTCCTGTCAGGCAAAGGAATAAACAATTTATCTTGAGGTTTGTTTCAAGGTAGATATTGGTGCGGTGTAAGTGACAAGGACCTACACCTATAAGTGGAGCGCTCAAACACAGATAAATCTTACCAAAACGTAGTCTCATTCAATGGTAAAATATGGGGTACATGTCAAAATAAAATACAGAAAATACAATATAGTGTAGATGGTACTAAAAAATGGCTTCACAGTGGTTATAATAATATCGTGTTGAATATTACACTCACATTTCAAGGAGCCTGTATATAGAAAACACTGGCTCCGTATAAAGGCTTGTGTGCTGTTATGGTAGCACCACCCTCCTACTTCAGCTTGAAGAATTTCTCGAGAACATGAAAAAAGAGAAGAAAGCAAACCAATGTGTAGACTTATGGTGATAAATGACACAGATATGTGTTCAATAAATGGGGTGCTCACCTGGTCCTGAGCCTACGAAACCCAGCTCTAGGTATGTGGATTTTGTGCCAATTTGAATGGGGATGGCACTACCCCTGTGAGGATTCCTTGGAGGCTCCAAAAGGTACTTGGATGAGGTATTAAATGAAAATGGTAAATTTATTAGTTTAAAATAAACAGAAAAACAAAGATGATAAAAGTCCTCAAATAAAAGTCCTCAAATAAAAGGCCGAAGTAGGAGGGTGGTGCTACCATAACAGCACACAAGCCTTTATACGGAGCCAGTGTTTTCTATATACAGGCTCCTTGAAATGTGAGTGTAATATTCAACACGATATTATTATAATCACTGTGAAGCCATTTTTTAGTACCATCTACACTATATTGTATTTTCTGTATTTTATTTTGACATGTACCCCATATTTTACCATTGAATGAGACTACGTTTTGGTAAGATTTATCTGTGTTTGAGCGCTCCACTTATAGGTGTAGGTCCTTGTCACTTACACCGCACCAATATCTACTAAATTTATTCAGTGGAATAGAGGATATTTCCACACTAGTGTATTGAGCTGCCTGTAAATCACTTTTTGACTCTTTTGAGCACTTTTGTTATACACACTCCTCTGTAAAAAGAGGTAACCTTTGATTTGTTGCAAGGTGCCTGGTGATGAGCCGCCATGATAGCATGGAGCAAAGAGGACGATAAAGAAAGGACAGTGGATTAAATAATACACTCAGGAGATATAATAGGGGATGTCTCTTTTTCTAGATCTGATTCAACGTCAAATTGTGTAGACACAACGTCAGCTTTAACGTTCTTAGAACCGGTTCTGTAGGTGATTATGAAGTTAAAGCGAGACAAAAATAATAACCATCTAGCTTGTCTAAAAGACAGTTGTTTGGCATCCCAAATATATGCCAGGTTCTTGTGATCAGTAATAATCAGAATGGGATCCTTGAAACCCTCCAAAAGATGTTGCCATTCCTTAAGCACTAGTATGATGGCTAACAGTTCTCTGTTACCAATGTCATAGTTATGCTCGGCAGGAGACAACTTTCTGGAGAAGTATCCACATAGATGCAAAGGGGCATCCTGACTCTGAGAAAGAACAGCATTGACCCCTGTCTCGGAGGCGTCAACCTCAAGTAGGAAAGATTTACTAGTGTCAGGATGTCTTCATGTCAGCAGATGCGAACATTTGTTTAAGAAGCTCAAAAGCTCTTTAGGCCATATAGTACAATTAGTCCCCTTGCACGTCATATTGGTGATGGGGGCTATTACGGAAGAGAAACCTTTGATGAATCTCCTATAATAATTAGAGAAATCAATAAACCTTTGGATGGCTTTTAACCCATTGGGTAACAGCCAGTGTAGAACGGCCTCTAATTTGCGAGGATCCATTTGGAAACCAGAGGCAGAAATATTATACCCCAAAAACTGAACCTTCATGCTGATCAAATAGGCATTTCTCAAGTTTACAATAAAGACCATTATCAAGCAATGTTTGTAATACTTGTTTAACATGTTCATGATGAGTGTGGAGGTCTGGGGAATAAATAAGGATATCATCCAGGTAAACGAGAACAAATGAATAGATATAGTCCCTGAGTACATCGTTAATAAAATCCTGAAACACGGCCGGAGCATTGCATAATCTGAAGGGCATGACAAGGTATTCGTAGTGCCCACTCCTAGTGTTAAATGCTGTCTTCCATTTGTGAGCCTTCCTAATCCTCACCAAATTGTATGCACTCCTATTGTCAAGTTTGGTAAAGATCTTAGCACCCTGGAGTCCAAACAATTGGGATATAAGGGGAATCCCTAGGCATTCTGTAACCGCTAGGCATTCTTTATAGTAATTGTAACGGCACCCCCAGGCATAAAAGGGTTAAACCGCCGTTTAGAAGATCTTCCCCTTCCAGAGATACAGGCACAGCTATTGCAGAACACCAAACTCCAGAACTGCATACAAGGAAATGCTCCAAACTCCCGAACTGCATACAAGGGAATGCTCCAAACTCCTGAACTGCATACAAAGTAGCACTCCATGGTCTGGTTTATTGAGGGCTACCTGCCCAGTATTCATGCAGGTCTCCCACCTGGTGGACACTCCCCTAGGGGACCAAATGGGAGACTGGGACACAAATGGTAAAATTACCAATCACAGGCATACAGGATTAAAACACTCCCACAGTACATTACAATCCCTCCCCTCTATCCTGGAGATAATTGGGAAGTAATCCAATTATCTCCAAGGACAGAGGCAAAACTCCATTAACCACATGGTTGCAATAAAACAATAAAATACATAATGTTACATTTGTCACATAAAATATATACATGTAACCCATCCCCAGATAGCTGGGATCTGAGCGCACAAAAGTACCGAATAGCGCTCAGATCCTATGCACACAGTCCAATCGCCGTGGAGTCAAAGTGTTCACAAAGTCTGTTCTCTGTACGAATAGACTCCACGGGATGGCTATCTGGGGTATTGCTGTTCAGACGGTAAACTACTGAATGAACAGGCATCCGGTTAAATGACCGAATGCAGGAGCAAGGAGGCTGACGGCTCAGCGGTGTTCGCGGAAATAAGTGTCCGTTTCCAGTTCCATAGTTTGGGCGCTGAACACCGCTGGCCGTTCGGGACTTTAAAATTGCCGCCGCCACGTGTTTGGCAAATGAACAAAGGCCACCCAGCATTCGTCAATTAAGCTGCAGTTAACCGTAGCTTCTGGGAGGTCAATTGCCGACACACTCCCAATACAGGTGGTCCAGTCATTCGGTTGTTTGTTCAGTAGATTGAATCTACCAAACACCGGGCAGAAAGGCACGAACAAGCCTTTTCTGCAGGGGAAAAGAAGGCTTTTTAACATGAGGCCATAGTCCAAGGGCAAAAGGCGAGCAACCAGGCTTCTCCAATGCTTCGTGGCGAGGTTGGTTTCACCACAGTAATCTTGTTTAATGCCCTGTAATCAATGCAAGGCCCTAACGCTCCATCTTTTTTAGCTACAAAAAAGAATCCTACTCCAGCAGGTGAGAATAATTACATATATGGCCTTTTCTTAACAATTCTTTGATGTAACATCCATGATCTTACTTTCTTGTGGGGATAGGGCATATACTGTGGTTACAGTGTGGGAGGGGGCAGGGAGATAAGGAATTACAGCGTGGGGGGGCAGGGAGAGAAGGGGTTACAGTGTGGGGGGGAGCAGGGTCTGGGGGCTGTGTCCTACCTAAATTCCCTGATGGTCCAGTGTCTCCCTGGTGGTCAGGTGGGTTAATGCTCCGGTCTGCAACTCTGCTGGGTGCAAAGCTGCAGACAGTATAATAAAAGTCTTGCGGGCTCCCAGAGTGTTGCCATGGTAATGCTCTGGGTGCTTGCGAGACTTTTATTACACTGTCTGCAGCTCTGCACCTGGCGGAGCTGCAGACCGGAAGTGTTGGGCAGACTGATTGGAGGGAGCATACAGGTCAACCCGCAGGGCCCCCTCCTGATCAGTTTGACTCCCAAGTCTCCAGCGACCCTGAAGGTGAGGGTCAGCGCGACCCACTGGGAATCACCCTGCGACCCACCAGCAGGTCGCGACCAACACTTTGGGAACTGCTGCTCTAATGTATTGATGGAGACCTTCTGTGCGATCTGGGACTAGGT